TGTTTGTTTGCTAAGACATGTGTGAAATTCTATTGGTTGGAATGTAGTACAAATGTTGTGTAACCGAAATTTTTTTTGGATAGTTTTCATTGGCTATTCATTCAAATTATAAACTTTTTTCTATAATTCACAAATATACTATTGATACTAATGGATAACGAACCGATAAACGAGTCATCGACAAATTTTACGTTACCACCACGTCCCCCTCCATTACCAAACACGTTTCTTGACTTACTTAATAATACTTATGATGACGCGGATATAGTACATATGCTTGCTGAAACAGCAGATATGTCTACTTTAGAATCTTCGTCTACATTTATGGATGAAATTCCAGTATTTAAACAACCAAACCCACCAGAATTCATGCCATTCGAAGATTTATGTCAATTTAATAAAATCAATGATTATTCGGAAGATATGAATTGGTATGATAATGATGGAATTTATGATATGGAACTTGAAGAAGTAAACGTTGATGAATTTCAAACTCATGATAATATTCAAGAATTTACAACTGAATTAAATTTAAATTTGAATGAAAAAGAAGAAAATCAATTAAATAATGATGATGATGATAATATTGAATCGGAAGATGAAGAAGATTTTGAGTAATTTTATTTTGATTTGTTTTTTTTTACCAAATGCTTAATTTTTAAACTTATTAAAGATTTAAAAAATAAAGACGACTTTTATCTCAAGCTCAAGCAATTGGGAAAGATCTTACTACTGGTGATGTCGTTCCTCATTTATGGCAAAATTTGGAAAGTGAATGGAATGAATTTAATAAAGATTTGAGAATTACTAGTGGAATAGGAAAAATTCGGAAAGGAAGGGTACTTATATAATTCCAGATAATTTAATAGTTTTATCATTCGAATTATTCTTTCATATTAAAAAAAAGTTCAAAGTGATTTTCATATTAATATTTTATAGAATGGTCCAAGAACTCGCACTTTGTCACCTATGTTAAAGAAATTATTAGGAGATGCGAACTTACATTATGTCAATAAAGAATACCCTGAAGCAACTGCAATTCTTCAAGAGATTGTAAAGATTGATCCGAATATTCATATTGCTTGGTTTACATTAGGAACTATACAAGATGAGATGGGATGTCCGGACAAAGCTTTGCAATTATACTTGGTTGCTGCACATTTAACACCAAAAGATGGTTCTTTATGGAAAAGATTAGGTTTGTCAAGCAAGTATGTTTGTCTTGTCTTATCCTTCTAATTTTATGATATTATTTTATTCTCTTTATTTAGTTTTTATTTTTATGTATCAGAAATCAAAATGCTCTTCATCAAGCAATATATTGCTTCTCCAAAGCGATTAGATGTGATCCTAATGATGAAGATGCAATTTGGGATAGGTGTATACTTTATGCAGAAATAGGAGAATACAGAAAAGTATATCTTGAATTAAAATTGTTATCATTTTCAATTTTAACTCGAATTTTTTATTAATAATATTAAATCTCTAAGGCAATTGATGGATTTAAGAAACTTTTACAAGAAATGCCTTATGATATGAATATAATTAGAGAAATTACCAAAATACA